GACTAGAGGAAATGTCATTTTAGTGCCAGGAATGTCTTTCTTGTTTATTCTGGACCCTATTCCGAAATTGGCATCTTTTGAAATTTGTGTGAAATTGGCAAAATTGCTAAATTCTGACCACTGTACTGGATAGTTGAATTTATAAATGGGTTTTTTCTTGCACCCATTCGATAGAAAAAATGGAGTTCTAGCGAAATATTCATGTTTTTTGTCGACTAGTACAGTGAAATTGGCCGAAAATGGGGCTCAAAGTGGGCAAAATCGCCGATCCGTAAACATCGCCGAGACCGCTAACTTTGCGAGAGCATAATTCCGTAAGTTTTCTATCAAATTTCAAACTTTTGGTGTCGTTATGATCGGGAAAAGATTCTCTATCTTTTCATAAGAGAAAATAATTTTTTTTTTTTTTTAAATTTGGCCGACCCTGAGAACGAGTTTCGGAGAGGGCCTGTCGACCCTCAAAGGGTTAATATGGCATCTTCAAGACTAATAAGACACTCTTAGTGATTTTAACATGTACCTACATGCCAGCACAGTGTGTAAGTTTAAGTACAGTTACACATAAGCATAATTATCAGAGAATGTATGTATGTATATATATATATGTATGTATGTATGTTTTTTTTTTTTTTTTTTTTCAACAAGTTGGCAGTCTCCCACCGAGGCAGGGTGACCCAAAAAAGAAAGAAAATCCCCAAAAAGAAAATACAGTGGACCCCCGGTTAACGATATTTTTTCACTCCAGAAGTATGTTCAGGTGCCAGTACTGACCGAATTTGTTCCCATAAGAAATATTGTGAAGTAGATTAGTCCATTTCAGACCCCCAAACATACACGTACAAACGCACTTACATAAATACACTTACATAATTGGTCACATTCGGAGGTAATCGTTATGCGGAGGTCCACTGTACTTTCAGCATCATTCAACACTTTCACCTCACTCACACATAATCACTGTTTTTGCAGAGGTGCTCAGAACGCAACAGTTTAGAAGCATATACGTATAAAGATACACAATATATCCCTCCAAATTGCCAATATCCCGAACCCCTCTTTTTGAGTGCAGGCATTGTACTTCCCATTTCCAGGACTCAAGTCCAGCTATTAAAAATAACCGGTTTCCCTGAATCCCTTCACTAAATATTACCCTGCTCACACTCCAACAGATCGTCAGGTTCCAAATACCATTCGTCTCCATTCACTCCTATCGAACACGCTCATGCATGCCTGCTGGAAGTCCAAGCCCCTCACCCACAAAACCTCCCTTACCCCTTCCTTCCAATCTTTTCGAGGACGACTCCTACCCCGCCTTCCTTCCCCTACAGATTTATACGCTCTCCATGTCATTCTACTTTGATTCATTCTCTCTAAATGACCAAACCACCTCAACAACCCCTCTTCAGCCCTCTGACTAATACTTTTATTAACTCCACACCTTCTCCTAATTTCTACACTCCAAATTTTCTGCATAATATTTACACCACACATTGCCCTTAGACAGGACAACTCCAGACATAATGGAGGGTCATGTTCACGGAGAATGTAAACAAACCGGGTGGCCTGCGGTGACCGTATTAGAAAGTCAGGTGGGGGGAGCCGTATAGAGAGTTATGGTCATAATTTGAAATGTCCATATTAGCGAAACGCTGTAAAGCGGGGCCCTTCTGTATGTGTATACAGTGGACCCACGACCAGCGATGGCATCGATTAACGATAAATCTGACTAGCGATACATTTTATCGCAAAAATTTTGCCTCAATTAGCGCTAAAAAACTCGACCAACACTATTCGTTCCGTCTGAGACGCGTCCACTTTTGGCCAGTGTTTACAAGCCAGCCAGCCACCGCGGTCACTTCCAAGCATACAATCGGAACATTTCATATTATCACAGCCTTTTTAGTGATTGCACCTGCAAAATAAGTCACCATGGGCCCCAAGAAAGTTTCTAGTGCCAACCCTACAGCAAAAAGGGTGAGAATTACTATGGATATGAAGAAAGAGATCATTGCTAAGTATGAAAGTGGAGTGCATGTCTCCGAGCTTGCCAGGCTGTACACAAAACCCCAATCAACCATCGCTACTATTGTGGCCAAGAAAACGGCAATCAAGGAAGCTGTTCTTGCCAAAGGTGCAACTATGTTTTCGAAACTGAGATCGCAAGTGATAAAAGATGTTGAGAGACTGTTATTGGTATGGATAAACGAAAAACAGATAGCAGGAGATAGCATCTCTCAAGCGATCATATGTGAAAAGGCTAGGAAGTTGCATGACGATTTAATTAGAAAAATGCCAGCAACTAGTGGTGATGTGAGTGAATTTAAGGCCAGCAAAGGTTGGTTTGAGAGATTTAAGAATCATAGTGGCATACATAGTGTGATAAGGCATGGTGAGGCTGCCAGTTTGGACCAAAAAGCAGCTGAAAAATATGTGCAGGAATTCAAGGAGTGCATAGACAGTGAAGGACTGAAACCTGAACAAGTGTTTAATGGTGACACTGACAATGTTGTGAAACACTTTAGGAATGTCATAAAGGAACGGGAGGTACAGGCCTCTATGGGCAGATATGTTGTGCGACAGAGGTCCAGTGACTCAAGCTGGTCCTAGTGGCATTAAAAGAAGAAGGGAAGTAACCCCGAAAAAGGACTTGCCACCTCAAGTCCTAATGGAAGGGGATTCCCCTTCTAAACACTAAGACCATCAACACACTCCCCTCTTCCCATCCCATCAATCATCACCAGATCTTCAATAAAGGTAAGTGTCATGTAACTGTGCATGTCTTCTTCAGTTTGTGTGTATTAAAATTAATATTTCATGTGTTAAAAAATTTTTTTTCAATACTTTTGGGTATCTTGCACGAATTAATTTGATTTCCATTATTTCTTATGGGGAAAATTAACTTGACTAACGATTATTTTGACTAACGATGAGCTCTCAGGAACGGATTAATAGCATTAGTCGAGGGTCCACTGTACATGTATTAGGGTAACCCACAAAAATGAAAGTCTGAAATTTATTGTCCCAGCCCATTGTTGTATTTTGCTCAGAGAAAACGTTCCTTGCCCAATGGACTCAAACTGTCACCCCCTTCCCCTCCCCCCCCATAAAACAGAAGTTATTGTTCTCTCTCAGGGGAGAGGGGGATGTAAATAATTTAAATTGTGTGGATGGGGGATACAGAAGTAACCTATAAATCCTATAAATAAGACAACAGAGCTTGTTTATGAAAGCATAAATAGCTATGGAATAGGAACGCACATTAACCCCTTGACTGTCGCAACCCCAAATCCTGAGGTGTCTCCTGGTGTCGCAAACTTTAAAAAAAAAAAAAATATTTTTTCTCATGAAATGATAGAGAATCTTTTCCCGATTGTAATGACACCAAAAGAACGAAATTTGATGGAAAACTGAAGGAATTACGCTCTAGCGAATTTAGCAACCTCAGCAATATTTACGAATCGGCGATTTTGCCCACTTTGAGCCCTATTTTCGGCTAATTCCATTGTTCCAGTCAACCAAACTCATAGCTATTTCTTTAGAACTCAATTTTCTCTATTGATTGAGTACAAGAAACTGCCCATTTACAGATTTCAACTACCCAATAACGGTCAGAAATTTGCAATTTGGCCAATTTCACGAAAATAAAAAAATATGACATTTTCAAAATAGGTCCCAGAATGAGCAATGCAGACATTCATGGCTATAAAATAACATTTTCTTTGTTCATCAGTCACGTCTCGAAGCCCTTCTGATATTACTCTTGCTTTCTATTTTGAATTTTATTCAAACCAAAAATAGAAGATTTACTGTTATGCAGACTGCTGCAATATTGTATTAATTGTATAAATAATGTCAACCCATTCATGACTGCATATTAGAATGGCTACTTGGACATTTATTGGAAAATGACATCATTTGTTTACTTTTGAACATCGGCAAAAATCAAAGATTTCCCCTACTTTGAGCTCCATTTCAAGGTTCTTTTCGTAGTAAAACCAATCAAAATCACCTCTATTTCTATAATATGTTTCCCATTCTATCAAATAAGACCAAGAAAACGAGAATACAACCATAAATACTATATGAAAATAGACCACAAATTTGGCATTTTAATTAAAAAAAGGGTCTGAGTTTTTTTTTCTCATGCACTGTGTGCTGCAGGATTCCTTTTTATATGGTGCACACTGACCACACAGACCCATTCTCTCACATGTGGGCCTACCAGCTTTCTCCCGCTTGATTTGAAGCCGCTAGAATTTATGAGTATACGTCGAAAACGGTGGCTCGTAAGACATATATATACGACCAAAACAGTTAAAGGGTTAATTTAATATAACACAAATAATGGAAATCAGTGTTTTGGAATAATTTTTATGAAGCCTTTGTTATTGCCTATTTAAGATTCATTCATGTTAATGTCATCTAAGCTGCTCTTGCATCAAATGGGAAGTCTCAGCCACTTGGAGTAGTAATTCTTGCTAGGGAAGTACAGTGATACTGGTTAATGGCTCTTGATTCAGAAAGTTGGAGCTACCCTCTTGTACCGAACATGATTACCTCCCATTCTCTTGAATCTGTGTGACCTCTATGGATTTAGCACTTCCCATAATTATAATGCAGCTCACTGTCAATATCTTATTGACCTCAGTGTCTTCCTATCATGCTTTCTTGTTTGTATAAATAATTATTGGGTTTTGAAAATTAAGAAGGCATCTAGCAGCTGAAGGATATGTGAAAGAACTTTATATGTTACATGATTCATTGATACTCATAACTAGCCCACACAAATATTTGGAGATGGAGCTTAACCCACAGTTTGGCCTATCTGAGATTGCAGCCTTATTAAAGTTTCATCTCCAGTTGATGGTTAGTTGTGAATTATTCCAGTCACGGTATTGTGATGAGATGTTTCAGAAAGATGTCTGTTGGGATTTTGTAAGAAATTACTATATAATGTGTCTTATTTACTAATGTTGAGTGGAGTATTTTTTCTTTTTCAGTTATTTTAACAGCTTGGTTAGCATTCTACTGTGTCCGGTATCACAAACGTAAGGCAGAAGAGGAAAAACAACAGGTAAATTTTTTAACCTACTATTTTTTTGAGAAAATTGCCAGAAATTTTGACTTAATATTGCAGCACTAAATGACTCGTAAGGATTTAAGATTTTATTTGAAACTTACAATAATAACACTGCCATGGGTTTTAGTTATGCATCTTGGCACTAAAAGCATTATTTAAATTACTGTCCCTGGTACTTTATTATTTAATATTAACTCTTCTCTCTATATATATTACTTTCCCATCATGTTTTTGTAGGTTCCTCCGTACCATAAAAGTTGCATGATTTTATTTTTTGTCATAGGGAGACATAGTCAGATATTTACTTTACAAAACCAGCTAAATATGATTGATAAATCTTGCAATGCATGCATCAAGTTGGTCCTTGCAGATTGATCTTCCTGCTAAATATCATCATACTCCTTACTGTCTGACCCTTGCATGTTTAGCGCTTTGTTTTGATTGTAATAAAAATAATCTCGTAAGCCATAGTGTTCCTCTCTCTCATCATAAGATTCTATTGCTTCCTTTTCAACACTTTATACAATACTTGATCACTTTGTCTCACAAAATCGTAATGACAGGATTGCAAACAAACCATACCACGGGTGGGGATAGAACCCGCGATTGCGGGTTCTATCCCTGCCTGTGGTATGGTTTGATCACTTTGTGTTTAACCCTTTCACTGTCCATCATGTAGATCTATGTTATTAATGTCAGGGTCACTCATGTAGAGTATGTAGGAAAGAGGGAGATTATTTCCCAGTAAAAGTAGGCCTTAGACAAGGATGTGTGATGTCACCGTGGTTGTTTAATAAATGCGAGGGCCTTGGCAAGAGGCATGGAGTTAAAAGATAAAGAATCGCACACAAAGTGGGAGTTGTCACAGTTGCTCTTTGCTGATGACACTGTGCTCTTGGGAGATTCTGAAGAGAAGTTGCAGAGGTTGGTGGATGAATTTGGTAGGGTATGTAAAAGAAGAAAATTAAAAGTGAATATAGGAAAGAGTAAGGTTATGAGGATAACAAAAAGATTAGGTGATGAAAGATTGGATATCAGATTGGAGGGAGAGTGTGGAGGAGGTGAATGTATTCAGATATTTGGGAGTGGACGTGTCAGCGGATGGGTCTATGAAGGATGAGGTGAATCATAGAATTGATGAGGGGAAAAGGGTGAGCGGTGCACTTAGGAGTCTGTGGAGACAAAGAACTTTGTCCTTGGAGGCAAAGAGGGAAATGTATGAGAGTATAGTTTTACCAACGCTTTTATATGGGTGTGAAGCATGGGTGATGAATGTTGCAGCGAGGAGAAGGCTGGAAGCAGTGGAGATGTCATGTCTGAGGGCAATGTGTGGTGTGAATATAATGCAGAGAATTCGTAGTTTGGAAGTTAGGAGGAGGTGCAGGATTGCCAAAACTGTTGTCCAGAGGGCTGAGGAAGGGTTATTGAGGTGGTTCGGACATGTAGAGAGAATGGAGCGAAACAGAATGACTTCAAGAGTGTATCAGTCTGTAGCAGAAGGAAGGCAGGGTAGGGGTCAGCCTAGGAAAGGTTGGAGGGAGGCGATAAAGGAGGTTTTGTGTGCGAGGGGCTTGGACTTACAGCGGGCATGCGTGAGCATGTTTGATAGGAGTGAATGGAGACAAATGGTTTTTAATACTTGACGTGCTGTTGGAGTGTGAGCAAAGTAACATTTATGAAGGGATTCAGGGAAACCGGCAGACTGGACTTGAGTCCTGGAGATGGGAAGTGCAGTGCCTGCACTCTGAAGGAGGGGTGCTAATGTTGCAGTTTAAAAACTGTAGTGTAAAACACCCTTCTGGCAAGACAGTGATGGAGTGAATGATGGTGAAAGTTTTTCTTTTTCGGGCCACCCTGCCTTGGTGGGAATCGGCCAGTGTGTTAATAAAAAAAAAAAACACTCGTGTAGATCTACATCTTAAGCTCAGATCACTAAAAAAAAAAAAATTGAAGCGCTAAACCCACGTGGGTTACTCAGCACAAGACGTGGTGCATGTAGTAAATTTTGGCCTAGACATGAGAGATTGGGTGTGTGTGGTGAGCAGGCACAGTATAAAAAAAATTCTGACCTTGTGTTTGCATTAAAACAGCAACTTTGAGGTGCTTTCTAGATGGTTTTTGTGGTTTTATTGGCTTTTTCTTGGTATCATTTGATACAGTGGATGATATACCACTGAAATTAAGACGAATCTAGTTGGTTTCAGCAGCCTGGAATCGACCTCAAAATAGTAGAAATTTTCAATTTTTGCCAATTTTCCTGAGGTTGGGTAGTCCCCCTACAATCCCCAATCTGTTTTATGGGTTTGTACTGGGTCTGATTCAATTATTGGGATGCTGTAAACCATGACCAGTTATTCCTGATAATATTTTATCTGAGAAATAGGGTAAATATATTTTTTTGTGATGACTTCAAAATGGAAAGCAAATGTAGTATAGGAGAAGCCCGAGGACATGATTAATGAGCAAGAGAAAAATTTTGTTTTAGTTCTTGTACTATCAACCATTTTTATTTTGGACTTTTTAAATTGGAATTTTTTTAAATTTTGTGTAAAATTGGCCAAATTACCGATATCTGTACAATTTTATAGGGTAGTTTTCACAGTTGAATGGGCGATTTCTTGTGCTCAAGTGATAGAAGAAAAGGCACACTAACAGAATAGCTAAGAATTTGGTTGAATTGATCAATGAAATTGCTTGATATAGGACTCAAGGTGGGAAGAATAGTCACTGTGTAAATTGCGCCCAGACCGCTAACCTTGCACCTGCATAATTTCCTAAATTTTCCACCAGATTTTCGTGTCATTACCTCCAGAAAAAGATTCTCTGCCAATTTAGAAGATTTATTTTTTTCAATGTGGACACTGTGAACACTTTTATTTCAGGATTTTGGACAGTAAATGGGGTAATGTTGTAATGAGCTGGTTTAGCCTATATATGAACCTATATATGAACATCTTGTATATGTTCTTACTTTCTTCCCCTTTGGGGGGGGGGGGAGAAAAACCTTGATTAAAGAGCTCTAGATCCAAGGGATTTTATCTACTCTCCACTTCCTTGGATTAAATCTTATTGGTTTCCAGGCATTGTATGACCCCTTTAAGTTTAGAGCTTCCCCATGAATATAATAGTAATTCACTTTCTCCCTGTAGGATGTTGGTTATTTTAAGATTATTATTCACATTTTGGCTTCATTTCCATAAAAACTGCAGTCCTAATGTTCATTATCCTCTCCACCTTCCTAGCTCATTACCAAGCATTTATCACTACTCGCATGGCACCCTCTCGGTTCTCATCCTTGGTATACCTACCTCTTGCTTATCCCGCTTACATCTAATGTGACATTATATTCTCATTCATTTTTAGCATTTAGACTATTAGATCTGTTACATTTTCTCCCTTTATATTTGTAATCTTTCAGTATTTTACCATGTGTACACACACACTGCTTGCTTATACGTGAGGTCTTGCGAGTAGTAAGGATGAACTTGATATCTGAATTTTAGTAAAGAAAAACTATTGTTTAAGCTTCTTTAAAAAAATAATTTTTTATTTTTTTATTTTTTTTTTAATCCTTCTTTCACCCTTTTTTTGATGGTGGTGTCTGGAGGACTTTCATCCACAGCTTATTTTAAATGTTGGGAAAAATATTACTATATAATGAAAGAATTATTATTTCAGCTCTTTTCTCTTTATTCTTCTTGCAGGTTTACGAATTAATAGAACAGATTTTAGAAGTGCTGAGGGGTGTGGGTGGTCCTGCTGGAAAGGACTATGTGGCAGTGAGTCATGTTAGAGACTCCCTCATAACCCCAAGGGAGCGCCGTGCTAAGAAAAAGCTTTGGGAGAAGGCTGTGCAATTCATTGACCATTATGAATCTAGGGTGGGTAGTTTTGACTATGGTTGCAAGTGAGTGAGAATCAAAAAAAATGAATGGCAAATGGTAACAGAATAACTTGTTGAAATACTGATAAATTCATAGTGTCACTTATTGAGATTGCTTGCATACTCACTCTTTAACTTGGTCTAATTTAATACACACACACACACACATGCTGTTTGTCTTTATTTATAATTATTACTTATCTTACCTCTTCTCAACTACGTTATAATTAATTTTCTGAAGGTCCGGCGTGATATCCAGGCAGTTGGGGGTGAAGATTGCGAGGTGTGGCGGTGGGCTTCTGGTGTACCTCACTCCCCAGGCAACTCCCCAGGAGGAGATGGAGGTGTTGGCCGTCCCCCAGCAAAAATGTGGCAAGGACCAGCCTTTGATAATCTTGGTCCACAACATGTGCCCAATGTTTCTCCCACCTCTTGCCTCAAAATTAGAAATATGTTTGACTGTGATGTGTGAGTACATTTCATCATTTGAGTATTTATTGTTGGTAGTCTTTTGTTGAAATGAGGTCTATCTTGTACTTTCATAAACTCCAAGGTCGAGATCTAGGACATGCATGTACATTATTGGCTGTAAATCAACAATTAATACATTTTCATTATGTACAAATTACAATTTTATATTTCTACATGAAATGTAACTTCCATTATCAAGAACTGATTTTAACTATTGTATACGTTAGACAATAAATTGGGTGCTCTACACTATTCAAGAACTTTGAGCACCAGTTGTATATAGACATTTTGATTTCAACACCACCACTCTCAAAACCCTTTATCTGTTACTTTCCAGTCTCCTTAGTTACCTATTATTACATAATCTGTTAAGTCATTTGTTGTTCACCTCTATTAATTTCTTCTCCATGTACTTACACATCTTCTTTCAACAAACCGGCCATATCCCGCTGAAGCAGGGTGGCTCAAAAAGAAAAACAAAAGTTTCTCTTTAACTTTAGTAATGTATACAGGAGAAGGGGTTACTAGCCCCTTGCTCCCGGCATGCTAGTCACCACTTAGGACATGCATGGCTTACAGGGGAAGAATTCTGCTCCACTTCCCCATGGAGATAAGAGGAAATAAACAAGAACAAGAATTAGCAAGAAAATAGAAGAAAATCCAGAGGGGTGTGTGTATATATATACAGTGGATCCCCGCATACCGATTTTAATCCGTGCAAGAGGGCTCATTGGTATGCGAAATAATCGGTATGTGAATGAATTTTCCCCATAAGAAATAATGGAAATCAAATTAATCCGTGCAAGACACCCAAAAGTATGAAAAAAAAAATTTTACCACATGAAATATACATTTTCCTACACACAAAGAGAAGGATACATGCACAATAGTAGAGTAGTACATGCACAGTATATATTGTGCATGTACTAGTCTACTAAATGAAGAATAAATGACACTTACCTTTATTGAAGATGACTGATGAGACACTGTGTCCTGGGAGTGCCTTTTCCTCCTGAGTACTGTAGGTCCTGTTTGGCATTTTCTTCCAGAACAGGCCTTATCACACTGTGTATGTCACTACGATTCTTAAATCTCTCAAACCAACCTTTGCTGGCTTTAAATTCACCAATATGAGCACTAGTTCCAGGCATTTTTCCCTGTTCACCTGGGTGTTAGTCGACTGGTGTGGGTTGCATCCTGGGAGACAAGATTAAGGACCCCAATGGAAATAAGTTAAACAGTCTTCGATGACACTGACTTTTTTGGGTTATCCTGGGTGGAAAATCCTCTGGGGTTAATTGTTTCTTGGTATATTCTCAATAAGCCACACCAACAACAGTGCTACAGCAGCAGCAGACAATGCTACAGCAGCAGCAGACGATGCTACAGCAGCAGCAGACGATGCTACAGCAGCAGCAGACGATGCTACAGCAGCAGCAGACGATGCTACAGCAGCAGCAGACGATGCTACAGCAGCAGCAGCAGCTGACAGTGCTACAGCAGCAGCAGACGATGCTACAGCAGCAGCAGACGATGCTACAGCAGCAGCAGACGATGCTACAGCAGCAGCAGCAGCTGACAGTGCAGCAGCAGCAGCAGCAGCTGTACCACCAATAGTAGCGATGGTTGATTGGGGTTCATTATACAACCTGGCCAGCTCGGAGACACGCACTCCACTTTCATACTTATCAATGATCTTTTTCTTCATCTCTATAGTATAGTAATTCTCACCCTTATTGCTGTAGGGTTGGCACTAGAAGCTTTCTTGGGGCCCATGGTCACTTATTTTCCAGATAAAATCACCAAAACCACTGTAATAATACGAAATGTTACGATTGTATGCTTGGATGCTACCGCGGAGGCTGGCTGGTAAACAATGCCACCGGCGGAACATGTGAGGCTGGCTAAGGCGCACATTGGACGCGTCTCGGACGAACAGCGGTGAGCGGGTTTTTGAGCGGTATGCGAGGCAAAATTTTTGCGATTAAAGCAAGCGGTATGCGGATTAATCGTTATGTGATGCCAACGGTATGCGGGGGTCCACTGTACTTGTACGCGCATGCATAGCGTGACCTAAGTGTATGTAGAAGTAGCAAGACATACCTGAAACCTTGCATGTATATGAGACAGAAAAAAGACACCAGCAATTCTACCATCATGTAAAACAATTACAGGTTTTCGTTTTACACTCACTTGTCAGGACAGTAATACCTCCCTGAGTGGTTGCTGTCTACCAACCTACTACTTAAGAGTACTAACACATGTTAAGTTTATTAAAGTTTTACCAAGTCCAGTGTTCATGAAGAAGTACCTTGGATCCAAATGGCATACTGCTGACAATAGTGAGAATATGGCATATTGCAGAATGAGATTTTATAAGGATAGTTTTGCCGGGTAGAATTGTATTGCTTTACATAATGGAATAGTCCCAGTGAAAGCTTGGTCTTTAATGCGTATTTTCTTAATGGGAACCAGCTTGTTTCTCTTTAGAGAAGTTTCCTGTTGGTATCTGGATATGCCGTCATGGGGGAGTGGAGAAGAATCCTTCCTCTGTAAGCCACGTGTGTCGTAAGAGGCAACTAAATTGGCAGGAGCAAGGGGCTAGTAACCCCTTTTCCTGTATCAATTACTAAATGGAGAGCATGTAAATCTGTAGGGGAAGGAAGACGGGGTAGGGGTCGTCCTCAAAAAGATTGGAGGGAGGGGGTAAAGGAAGTTTTGTGGGCGAGGGGCTTGGACTTTCAGTAAGCATGCATGAACGTGTTAGATAGGAGTGAATGGAGACAAATGGTTTTTGGAACCTGACAAGCTGTTGGAGTGCAAGCACGGTTATATTTTGTGAAGGGATTCAGGGAAACTGTTTGGCTAGACTTGAGTCCTGGAAATGGGAGGTACAGTGCCTGCACTTTAAAGGGGGAGAGGGCAGATATTGGCAGTTTGGAGGGACATCTAAACTGTCATATCTGAGTGCCTCTGCAAAGACAGTGATTATGTATGAGTGATGGTGAAAGTGTTGAAAGATGAATGCTTTTTAATTTTCCTTTCTTTTTAGGTTTTTCTTTTTGGGTCACCCTGCCCCGGTTGGAAACAGCCGACGTGTTAAAGAAAATGTCTTACTCCTGTAATATAACCTATTCCAACTTAAGAGTTCTGATCTGGGACTGGGCTGTGGGAGTAGTGATCCCCAGAACTATTAACAGATTATGTAAGATGTTCAGTTATCTCCTGAAAATTTGACAGATGATTATTAACTTTTCCCTATACAGCCAGTTTGTTGATTTTTTTCTTTTTTAAATACTCTAATAGTTATACAGGTTTTATGCCAAGTAAATAGTGCTTGAATATTATAATGGTAACTATTAGTGTTCTCCAGCCTCACCACATAGTGCAAGATACATACTACATAGTGAAATAATTCATACTGTGAGGTGATTAGTTATATTTAACCCTTAACCCTCTCAGGGTTTCTGACGTACTAGTACGGCTTACGCACCAGGGTTATTGACGTACTAGTATGCCTAAATTCTAGCGCCTTCAAATCTAGCAAGAGAAAGCTGGTAGGCCTATATATGAAAGAATGGATCTATGTGGTCAGTGTGCAAAGTATAAAAAAAAATCCTGCAGCACACAGTGCGTAATGAGAAAAAAGAACTTTGACCGTGTTTTTGGTTTAAAACAGCGATGCACTGTATTTTCATATGGTATTTATGGTTGTATTCTAGTTTTCCTGGTCTTAATTTTATAAAATGGAAGACATATTACAGAAATTGATATGATTTTGATTGGTTTCACAAAGAAAAGTACCTTGAAATTGAGCTCAAAGTAGCAGAAATGTTCGATTTTTGCCAAAGTTCAAAAGTAAACTAATCATGCCACACGTCCAATACATGTCAACTGGTGAGTCTAATATTCTTTCACAAGTGCGCTGATATTATTTATACCATTTCTACACCAATGCAGTAGTCTGCATAACAGTAAATCTTCTATTTTTTGTGAGAATAAAAATTCAAAGTGGAAAGCAAAAGAAATGTAAGAGGGGCATGAGGACGTGACTAATGATCAGAGAAAATGTTATTTTAGTGCCAGGAATGTCTGTCTTGTTTATTCTGGACCCTATTTGGAAATTGGCATCTTTTGAAATTTGTGTGAAATTAGTAAAATTTCTAATTTCTGACCACTTTATTGGATAGTTGAAATCAGCAAATGGGTCGTTTCTTGTACTCATTTGATAGAAAAAAATGGAGTTCTACCGAAATAGTTAGGATTTTTGTCAACTAGTACACTGGAATTGGCCGAAAATAAGGCTCAAGGTGGGCAAAATCGCTGATGCGTAAACATCGTTGAGACCGCTGACTTCGTGAGAGCATAATTTCGTAAGTTTTCCATCAAATTTCATACGTTTGGTGTCATTATGATCGGGAAAAGATTCTCTATCTTTTCATTAGAATTTTTTTTTTTCCCCGAAAAATTTTCAACCCGGAGAACAAGTTTAGGAGAGGGCCTCTCGACCCTGAAAGGGTTAAACTGTCCAAACGTAGATCTACGTTTGCTCACGAAGCACTCCGAACATAGATGTACGTTTTTTTTTTTCATTGTTTCTTATGGATAAAATCAAGGTCAGAGCACTACGAGTGCAAACGTAGATCTACGTTTGGACAGTTTAAAGGTTAATTGTTCGAGAAACTGTAGAAAAAATCTGGCTTGGAAAAAATACTTGAAAGAAATTTTAGAAATTGATGGAAAATTCTCATTTGATGAGCATGTGTTTCTAGCAGTCTTGATAAAGAGTGAGTGGATCAGAGCATAGCATTACAGTGAACATTTTCTTTGCAGGAGGGCACTAGACATTAGTGAGAGCTATTTTAATTGTTGAGTTTGTATCCTGTGTCTCCACAATTACTTCTGATTAAAGCTGGGAGAGTTAGCAAGAGTAACATAGCACTACTGACTTTAAGTGAATGACTAATAACAGAAATCAGTCAGAAATAACAAAGTATTACCACTGACTAATGAAGTACAAGTCTGTTAGGTCTCCATTTTGTATCATTCCTATTTCTTTTGTATTTTGTGAATACTGTTTTCAATTATTTTTTATTTCAATTAGTAAATTGTAAATTGACTAGTTTGATTAGTAGCTTTTGTTTTCTTATAAGGCTTTTTCTTGGCATGTAACACAAGGTATCTCTTAATATAGGACCACTCTTTCAGAGAGTTTGGTGATAACTGGCCTTCACGGATTCAAGATAGCATTTTGGAAAAATGTGAAGGTGTCAGCATTGTCCACATTGCTGTGGATCGGGGGTCACGTGAAGGCTGTGTCTACCTTAAGTGTGCGTCTCTCTCAGAGGCGGGTAGAGCATTTAGAGCTCTACATGGCTGGTGGTATGATGGTAAGTGCTAGACATGTCATGCACATAAGCAAACATTAAGCTGGCATCACTTCCCTACACAGAGCTTTACAATTTACTGAGAAGGATATTTTACAGGATTATTCGAGGTGCTATCAGAAAGTTCCCAGACTGCTGCGAAAATCACCTAGCTAAAGCTGTCTCCCTTGAAGTACTCTCCTTGGGAGGCTAGACATTGTTCCCAGTACCTCTACCTCTTCTTGAAACATTTCTGGAACCCTCCTTTCCCTAACAGCATGTAGCGCAGCCTGTGATTCTGCTTGAATCTCCTTGTTGTTAAAATGCTGCCTCTTGAGTGCTATTTTTATTTTAAGGTAAGAGAAAAAAGTCACAGGGGGCTAGATCTGGGGAACAGGGAAGGTGGGTGATGATTGTCGTGTTGTTTTTGGCCAGAAAATGTTGGACAAACAGTGCTGAGTGAGCACGGACATTGTCATAGTGATTGAACTAATCATTGGATGCCCACATTGCTGGACATTTCCTTCTCTCATTTTCCCTCAAGCATCTCAGAATCTTGATGTAAAATTTTGGTTACTGTCTGCCCTGCTGGAACAAATTCCTGATGAACAATTCTCACTTGTCTCAAAAAACAATGAGCATGCTCTTGACATTACTCCTTTTATTGGCTCAGGCAAGTTAGGGCTTTTCTGTTGTGATGGCTGTTGCTTGGTCTCTGGGTTGTAGCCATAGTTCCAAGTTTCACCACCAGTAATGTCCTGAGAATATCAGGGTCATCTTCCATGTGTGTTTTGTGGTCCTGACAAATATCCAATGATGTCCTTCTGGTCCTGAATCAGGAAGCTGGGAACAAATTTTCAGCAACTTCTCTCATGTTCAAATCAAAATCCTTTGATTCTACCCATAAAAAATTCCCACAGCATTTGAAATATTCTGGATACTCTGATGATGGTCTTCATGAATGGCCATTGTCACTTTTTCAGTGTTGGGGTTTGTTATTGATGTTGATGGATAACCAAGAGTGTTCAATCAGTTCCAACCAACAGTTGTCTTGTTTTGAATCGAGAAAACCCATTCTGTGTGCTCTCCAACCCATTGCTTCACTATCAGATGTATGCTGAAACATTTTGTGAGTTTCCCTAGCTGTTTCACTGAGCTTGAAGCAGAATTTCATCCATATGCTGGCCATTCAAAAATTCCATTCTGTTACACAATAAAATAACATGACAAAAAATGCCTGTCTAGCCTCAGTGGAATGATGGACTGCACCAAAACTCAATACAATACAGTCACAAAGGACTGTACTGCGTAGCATGATCTACGCCACCTCCATATTTCACCCAGGAAGTGTTCAAAAATTTGTCCAGAAACTTTTTGATAGCACCTCGTATATACTGTAGAACAGGAATAAAGAAAAATATCTGGGAAGGTCTTACTTTTAATTTTATTATGAAAATGCCAAGTTTGTACAGAAATATTTTATTTATTTCCCATAATGTGATGAAATTATTTTATAATTTTTTACTACTAATAATTGACAATTTTTTTTTTTACCCTAAATGCAATAAGCTAACTACTTATATCATTTCAAGACCTTGGAGTTTCACCAAGATAGTGTTAGATTCCTTAATATTGTTTCAAAGGTAAGTGTTGAAGTTATACATTTAATAGCTTATTTTAATAATACATTGAGAAAGGTGTGGACTGTGTGTGATGCATATGCCAAAGTGATTTAAGATGTGTAAGGGTGGAGCCCTTAAGGCATTTTACTTGGTTTCATTTATGCAGATAAGATCTGTGATAATCTGGTAAAATGATGGAAAATTAAGTAGGTGTTTATGGTATATTAGATGAATGTTCCCTGCTTGGGCTGATTACTTTTTCCTCCTTCCTTCCACCCTGTTGGTCATCCTGTTATTCTCCATCCTCTTCAAATGCAAAACCACCTGAATTACACCTTCTGTAACCCCACACAGTCTCCTAATTTCTACACTACAATTTTTTTGCATATTATTCACACCTACATTGCTCTCATATGATAGCCCCACTACCTCCAGCCTCCTTGCTGCAGTGTTTAACACTCATGCCTCGTATCTGTATAGGTGTTGGTAAAACTATACTCTGGTATATTCCTGTTATTGTGAATATAATGCAGTAACTTGCTTTGTACTGTGTTTTATTTACAGGAACATTTATTAATCATGTAAAAATATTATAACGGAATAAGCAGAAAACATTCTTACTGCTTAACAATTAAACATTTTATCTTGCAGGTAACCTTGTGACTGTCAAATTTCTCAGAGATGAGCGTTATCATCAACGCTTCCCATCTGCTCGTCATGCCACGTGCCGGCTGAGACCGTCCAATAACAAACGCCTCTCTCTGCAAGTTCCCACAGGTCAGCCAGAAGCCTCCAAAAATATATAGAATATGGTTGATGTTAGCACACAGGCTTAAAATGGGTGAAGGATATAAGCTACTTTTGGCATAAACAATATGGAGGCTTGTAAATTGGATTTTGGCTGCTTGAAAAGAATGTATACTAATTTCTTGGAAACAAAAAAAGAAATTAGGGTGATGACTAAAGGCTTTAGGGATTTTAGATGTTTTTAAAATATAAAAAAATGTCTTCTTATGTTTTTTGTGAAGGATGAAAAATTCATAGAGTAATTATGTTTATTTTTATTTAACCTAACAAAGTAAAAAAGTACTGCCTGCAGTTTTTTACAGTAAATCATTAGTCTTATTTTTTTTTGTACATGTAATATGTTCCCTTCTCAGTGGTGTAAACATTAATATATTAATCTGCAGTTGTGGATACTTAGGATTGTGGTGATCTGATCCTTGATTGTCTGCATGACCAGGTAATCAGCAAGGAAGCATAGCCTCAGGTCGTCTCTGTGGGTAGGAGAACCATCAAAACCGATCACAGCTGTGTTATTACTCAAGCTGCACCACATGTTATTCTTTTATATTTTGAGTTATCCCACTTTGTGGTTTCTCTGTTGTATCAACCCATTAGTCACATGATAAACAGTTAGGTTCTCTTATTTTATTAATTAAAGTTTTCATTAATTTTGCATATTTTTACTGTCTAGCTCAGTGGCAGTGTTACCATAGTTTGGACAGACCTGACCATAAGTATCTGGAGGCATGATTCTAGTTTCCACATTTGTGTTTTCCACTTGTGTCACTCAGTCATTATTATATCACTCTTTTAGAGTGCATTGGGGAATACATTTCTTGAGATTAGAGAAAAAAAAATTTTCTCTTTACTTCTTGAGATATTGTGCTAGATTTTTATAATTTTATCTTCATAATTACACAAAAATGTATACGTACATGATATCCAGATGCATGTTATTATGTGCATGTACAAAGAAAAACGTGTGTTCTCTAAGTACATACACATATAAAATAAACCCTTGATTAATGAGTGATCTGGTAGTGCTGTTTTGTCTTAACACTTTTGAGAAAGTGCAACCAAAAAAAGTTAGTGCACAAAAATGCTCGATATTATATAAAGTGTGAAAGATTTAGCATAGCAACAAGTTATGGTTAAAATTGGGGATGCTATGAGCTGTAGATTTTAAGTCTGCTCACTAGGCCACAAGTAATGCATCCCTCCAGCCCCCTACCATGCTACAGCAAATCACAAGATAACCTTTTTTTTTTTTTTTTTTTTTTTTTTTAATGTTTTCCAAAATTTGTACAACTTATGACATTCAATGCATTAATATCAAGCACCCACAATCGTTCAGTAGAAGACAACTTCATTTGTATTTACTACCCAGAAGGTTAGTAGCCTAATATAATTAATTATACATTCCTGTGCCTTGGAAAGTTTTGTATCTACTTTAGCTGTATTTCTACAATTGGTGAATATGATGGTGATTGATAATAAAATGAATAGGTGTTTGAATGAGGAAGTTGTAGTGGAGGTACAGTATGCATTCACCGAGGTGAATACATATTTGGGTGAATCTCTAGATTTCTCCAAGGTTTGGGGGAATTGAGATTTCTGCAGAACTTGCTAAGTAAAGGTGTGTTTAACTAAAAAAATGAGGGAAAATGGATGAGTAAGTCTTGTGCCAGCTGCTACCCCTGTTACATTATCAACATGGTAATATTTTGAGGAGGTTGAGACATGCTGTTTCCCTGCTGACACTGTATAACTCTCAGCAGTGTGTGTGGTGTTACCTTCTCCCATTATAGGCTCTTCATATGAGATCATGCAAAATAAAAGTTGTATAGACAATTTAGATGTGTATTGAAGAGTTAAACGTAGAAATCTTCAATCATGCAATATTGCTGGGAGCCAGAGCCATAGTTGGCACCTATTTGCACATTTCTCAGATGCAGCCTCCCACACCATTTTATTACAGTATTACTTTATTTTTATTAATTTCTTTAATACAGAATGCATTCATCTTGAGTATGTTTGCTTTGTGTAGGTGTGGTGAGCTTCTATATGTTTGGTACAATTTGACAAGGAAATACAGCTTTTATTTTTAACAGTGTTTCCATGTCCACAGCACCAAAATGGTGGTAGTGGTAGTCGATGATGCTTGCTGCATTTTTATATCCACATTTTCTTTGATATATATTTGTTTGGTATAGGTGTGGTTAGCTCTTGTATGTTTAATGCACTTTGGTAAGGCAATGTGGCTTTTATTTTTGTGATGTTAACATACTGTGTGTGTCAGTTGATAAACCTTGCTACATCCAGTTCGGCCCAGTAGGCTCACATTAACCCTCCACACACTTCAAATTCTTCAAGGAATAACTAACAGAATGTAGGATAAGATAAACTAGTAATTTTTTAAAGTAAAATAATAAATAAAATTATTTGGCAAATTTGGAGGTGTCTGGAATGTAACCTTTTTTTTTTTTTTTTTTTTTTTTTTTTACCTTACGTGTTCTTCAGGTGACGTGATTTTTAAGCTAAGTGCTAATATTCAGGAACATAACCCACACATTAATTGAGGGTTTAATATACATACATACCTGAACAATCATGTAGTTCTACAGGAAAATGATAGGCCAAGCTCCAAACTTTTGTATGTATTACAAGACATCCTCAGGAAGAGTGCCAATACTGTAGTAGGGTAACAAAGGTTGGAGCTGAGGTGACTGCAAGACAGAGGGCAGTATGTAATTACCCAACTCAGTTGTCAGGTGTTGGCATTAAGGAAGTGCTTTCCTCACACGGTATACATGAATATTTTGTTAATACACTAGCAGGTTTGTACATTCCATCAGTTGGGTTCATATTTCTGGTTATCAAGGAAGACTTTAAGTAGCCTCTCTTGTGGATGCAGAATGAATAGATATATTGTAAGGCACACTAGTCAGTGGGGTGGATATGCAGTCTAATATGAACAAATTTCACACTGGATTCTAACCTTTTAACATTGTATTTTTATTAAGTAATCCTCCTGTCAGGGAACTACATTATGGGATTTAAAGAAAATTCTCTGTATTTGTGCATTGCATATTGATCTCAAATATTCAACGGTTGTACACCTTATTACTTGGCATTATAGCTCCGTATTTGTCAGTTTCTACAACCAGTTTAAGAGGATGATATTCTGAGTTTACTGGAGAAAAAAAACCCATTTTATATAGAATCAAATTTGCTACAAAAATTTTACAATCCCACATGGTGCCCCATCAAGACAAAGATCAGTGCCAATTTGAATTTTGTTTCTCCCATAAAAAACGTTTGGTGATTATTTCCTATATTGTATGTTGGTACCATAAGTCAGTGTCAAAAATTCCATAAGAAAAAATGAACTTCATTAAAATGTAATTCTTAATATATATTTTCCTTCCTTTCATAAAAGACTGTTGTCAGCTAAATTCACAAATCTAGTCTTAAAGATTTTGTTTACAACACGCAGACATTTGCCTTAAGGTAACCTCATCAAATATATTGATTTATAGCCCTGTGGCCACTCTGTGAAAGCTAATATAACTAATGATGTTAAATTTGTATTTATTTTTATCTTGAAATTTTGTGCATTTGCAGCGTGCATGTTGGTATATAACTATAGATGTTAAGTATTTTGTTTTGCCAAACCTGTGAATATCTTTGTAAAATATATTTTACTAACTTTATTCTTGTTAATCTTCAAAAATATTTTCATTTTTATATACAGCATGTTTGGCAGATAAGCCACTAAGTTGAAATATTTAAATAATGTCATAAATAATGTCATATGAAAGCATAAAACTGAGTAATTTGGTAAGAGTGTTTTCACAGTAATAATTGCAATTGATCAACCCCCTCTGCCCATCTATAGCTTTGAAAATTAGGCTCAACTTGAAGTTTCCACTTAGCTGAATGATTGAGACTAATACATCCCATTGCCTTATAAAATGTCTCTTAAGTTTGACACTGTTGTGATAATTTTACCCTTTATGGAAGGGTGCCTTGAAGCTGGTGAATAACTTGATTCAATTAATTTGAGCTACCCTCCCATTCCTCAGATCAAAGCTGAGTACCTTCCATTCTTCAGGTGCTGTATGACCCCTATGAGTTTAGTAATAATAATTTTATTTTTTAGCATTCTATCAAAAGGAGGCTGGATACTTTGTCTATCCTCCTGTGTTGCCTCGCCCCTGGTTGCGTGTCCAGCCATATATCCTATGCTTAACCCTGTGGAATATCCTGAAAAAAAAAAAAAAAATTCTTAGTCTCCCTAGGAAGTTTTTGAAAAAAAAAAAAAAATTCTTAACAGTTTGATAGATTATTTTTCTGAATTGAATAAGACTAAAAACTTAAGATTTTATGATGTGTTGAAGTTGGTGAAAAAATTATCACATTAACAACAGTGGCATCAAAATGCCAAAGATAATTGCATTTTATAGTTTATTGACACCAAGATATGGTTGGTTTTCTGTTTTAATTTTTTTTTAACACTATGTACACTAGTTTCTTATGATATTAAATGTGGTTGAAGGTTTGAGCACTTCATACATGGGGAAATGCTTAGCCTGACACTGCTCCACTTGGCATATATGATACAAGTGGAAAAGAATTCTCCCTCCATAAACCATGTGTTTTGCTAGAGGTGACTAAAAGGCTGGGAGCAAGGGGCTGGTAACCCCTTCTGTGTAAATTACTAAATTTTAGAAGAGAAACTTTCATTTTTAGTATATGTATTTTTAAATGTTTATACAGTAGTGCACTGTATATTGTAATAAACAGAATAGAGGAAATCAGCTCTAATATACATTATTTAGGTATGCATACTGGTCAGAGAGCCCATCATAAGTTCGAGTCGTTGGCAAACAAGTACGTCGCTAAGTGAGGAGAGACTGTATATATACGGTATAATTCTTTTTATTCTTATTATTATTTTGGTCTTTTAAGACTGTATACAAAGAATACTTATAACATTGCAAGTGTTTCAGAGTGTATTACTTCTCAAAATATGGAAATAAGTCACATTGACTTTACTGGGTTATATATATGGTATATATACTGTATAACTGTTTTTTATTCTCTGTTTTTGCTGTTTTGGTCTTCTAAGGCCATATACAGTGAATGCTTATAATATTACAATAGTTTCAGAGGTAATGCTTCTCAAAACATGGAAATTACTCGCACCATTTGACTTTACTGTATAATCTTGGGTTAACCCTTTGGCTGTCGAAAGGCCCAATCCTGAAGTGTCTCCTGGTGTCGCAAAATATTCGAAAAAAAAATTATTTTTTCTTTTGAAAATGTTAAGATTATTTTTCTGATTGTTTTAGTCCCCCCAAAAAAAATTTTCCCATCAGTACTTACCGAGATATAGAGTCCTGAAGTTTGCTGAAATTGATCTGCGAGCGGCAACAGCGGCGACTGCCGCTCACCCGGTAAACTTTGATTTACAGTACTTGTATTCGATGGTTTCTTGTTTTTTTCACTATTTTATTTTTTCACAGAACTTTTGTGGCCTGTGAGACCAAATTATTGTGCAATGTTCAAATATACACTCGTTGAATGTAACACAATTATAGCAAAAACACTCGTATCATTATAATGTTGCTAAAACTTGTTTACACAAACAATGTAAACAAATGTTTATTACGATTGTTTTATAATATACATATGTGCAATCACTGGACACTTTTCTAGAAGTGCTGCAGCTTGTGGAATTCTTTGAAACATGGGTATAAGCACAATGGTGTCTTACACTCCTCACACATAAAACGAGTGTCTCTGCGTTTTTGTGGGCATTTTGTGGTATGTCCACAGACAAAACACCTCTTCTGAGCATTTTTCTTGGCAGTAGTAGCAGGCAGTGGTATGGGGTAGTGATCACCAGGCCTCAGACGAGAGGACATGTGTTGATAATTTCGTGGGCGCTGGTCTATTGCAGGTGTTGTTTCTTGGTACTTGAATATTATTTGTCTGATGACTGACAAACAAAATTCACCATATTTGGGTTTCTTCTTGGTCTTCAACTTATACATATTATAAGCATTCAGCATGGAAATGTCAAGAAGATGGAAAAAACAGTTTTATGTACCACTTATAACTCTTGCGAACACAGTCAGCAAACCCAATCTTACAATGGGTTCATTGGTGTCTCTATTCTGCTTGCCAGTGTCTACCATTTCGTGTCGGTGAACTGATGTCAGTTGTGTGACATCACGTTTGTCATGCCACCGAAATGCCATGATGTCATTGGCAGCAAACACCTGCACTTCACCTCTACGACTGCCAGCATCGAACCTAGGCATATGTTTACGATTTCTATGCACTGTGCCACACACATCTGTCATGTTCACTCGCAAGAAATCACTGAGTATAGGGCTTGTGTACCAGTTGTCAGTATATAAAATATGCCCCTTACCAAGATATGGCTCCATCATTGTTCTAACCACATCACCAGAGATACCCAGTAACTTTCTGGTATCTTCCATTCTTTTACCACCAGTGTACGTAATTATATCCAAAACCAGACCAGTTTTGCAATCACACAGAACAAATAACTTTATACCAAAGCGTTTCCTCTTGCTTGGTATATACTGCTTGAATGAGAGTCTTCCTTTGAACAAAATCAAAGACTCGTCAATAACAAGCTTCCTGAAGGGATAAAAATACATACAGCACTTTTGTTTCAGGTACATAAACACACGTCTGATCTTATATAACCTGTCGCTTCTGTCAGGCCTGGTTTTGTCTGAAAAGTGTAACATACGTAACAGTAACACAAATCTATTCACTGGTATAATATCACTGAAAGCAGGGGTTGAAATCAGGCAGTCTGTCGCCCAGTATGTGTTGACACTATGCTTATACACATGTGACATAAGCATTATTGTGGCAAAGAACAGATACATCTCTGCCACAGTTGTGTCCTTCCACTGGTGTAGGCGTGATCTTGGTGACAGAATAGTGTTTGCCATGGTGTACTCATAGTATGTATTGCTTTCCCTGACAATAATGTCCATCAGGGGTTCATCGAAGAACAACTGAAAGCATTCCAGTTCAGTGAGATTGTTCCCAAGTGTACATGATGGCCGTATTCCACTTTGTCTTCCATCAAAGTCATGGGGATTGGGAACAAACTCGTCATCTTGCTGCCAATCCCAGATGCGGTCAGCTGGTACGTTCTGGCTATTGTAATGTGGTTGTGGTTGTGCAGGTTGTGGTTGTGGTTGTGGGAGTGTGGGGTCAGGTGAGGCTGGTTGTAGTTGTGCAGAGTCAGCAGTGCGGGTAGTAGCGTGGCCTGCTGCTGGTGTCACATGACTCATGCCACCATCACTATCACCACCACCGCCTGCTGCCTCACTTGCATCATTGATACCCATCGTAACAATATCGTCATCTTCACTATCAGGACGTGGTGTAGGGCCACAGGATGTGCTCCGAGATGTACTCCTTCCTCTTGGAAGAGCATATGGCACACTACCAGACCGCATGCGATGTCGTATATACTGCCGCTTCACTGGGGAATATTCACCCTCACTGTCACAACTAGAACTGCTTTCAGTAACCTTGAAATCACTATCACTTGCACTGCTCACATCTGAGTCTTGTACACGGACAAATAGTTTCCTCTTTCGTCCTGGTACAGGTGAACATGAACGAGCCGGCCCAGCACCAGAGGTGGAAGGTTGTGGGTCATCTGGGTTTTCATCACTAATTATGTTATCCTGGGTAATTTTTTCGGTCACACCCGCTTCAAAACCAGGGAATTCACTTTCACTGACACTATCATCACTGTTTGAGCTATCACTTGGGAACAAAAGACCTCCAATCCGCAGAGGAGTGAGGAACTTCTTACCGCGAGGCATGGTGAAAATGGACTACCAAGATGGCGTTCCCACAATGCACCGCTGAGTCCCAGATTTTTTTCACAGGGTGCACACCAACTACTGAGACCCATTCTCTCTCGTGTAGGCCTACCAGCCCTCTCCCGCTCGATTTGAAGCCGCTAGAATTTATGCGTATAGATACGTCAAACACGGTATCTCCCATGACGTATATATACGACCGCGAGAGTCAAAGGGTTAAACATTCTTAGTTTGCTTTGTGGCTAAATAGCATTGTTATTATCATGAAATTGTAATAAATCTGGGATGAGTAAGTCATTTTTGTGTCTTTTGCACACCCTGTTTGCTGGCAGGGAAGCTAGTGGTGGAACAGCAATTCCTGGTTCATTGTTTACTTTTGCTAGTTAGGCATACTAGGACAATGGAAATGCAGTCATCACCTGAGCAGTTAACCATGATACATTGTGTGGACACTGCTGGCCTTTTTTTTAAATTTATGGATAGATGGAAGAACCCAGAGAGTTGTGCTGAGGTCAGAAGTATTGGCAGGTGGCAGATTTGTGGGTACAAAAAAATGTGCGTACTAGTACAATGGACACACAAGACAGCACTTGCATACTAGTATGTTGGACACGGTTGGTTCAGTCATTTATGTGCCTTATGTGCTTACATTAGTTCATCTTAAACTGTTTGGAGAATGCCTTTCAAAATTTATTTTAAAATTACACTTAAAATAAAACATAGAAAGAAGGATCATTGAATGCAATAGCAGCAGTGTCCTCTGGGGGTAGTTTTGAAACTAGTTATTAGGTGGACCCATCAAAGAGGGATTGTGATGAATTTTA